ACAAGAAAAGTGTACACAATATTTACATATAGTCTTTTGTATATTCCTGGTAAGACCGTTCCTGGAGAATGTGTTGACTCAGTCGCAGTCGGGCAGAGTCTCTGGTTGAATCTCTTGATTCCTTCCTCTCTTCCCGGTACCAACCATATTTATATGGTCGGTACTCCACTATGCAAATTAGGTGGATCCTACCACAACACATTATGACATTTTCCACTGGGAAAAAAAAATTACATAGACAAAGCCCTTCGTAGGTTGTGGATTATACTCTGAAAACAATCTTTTGCATTTCTTTAAGGCATCGGCTTCCAGGGAGCCCTTTAATTAGTCTACTGGAATCTTTTCCAAATAATCCGAAGGCTCCAACTACAATGGGGTTTGTTGATGTCCCCATGTCCCACATTTTTGAGTTTTCGATTTCAATTATTAGTAGTAGTAGTAATATGTATATCGTTATGTATACTATTAATTATATTATGTATGTATATTATGTAATTAAGCTAATTTAGAGGGTGTGACTGACGGACTGAGGGAATAACGAAAGTCACATAATTATATCAATATCCATATTAACGCTATATCAATATCCATATAAAAGTAATGTTTTCTTATATATATACTTACTTCATGATAGATTTTAAAATTTTGTGTTTGATAGCTTATTTTGCATTCTCTCTCCCAATTTGCAATGTTGTCGATGCTCTATTTCCATGGCAAATATTCAGATTAGAGCTCCTTTTAAATTTCCACCAGTTCAAACTTTTACAGCAAAGACAGGCCAAATCATTTCCACCAAGTCGAATCACCTTTATTTCCAAGGTATCCCAAATGTAAGAAGAAATTTTCTCAAAGACAAAATTTATTTCAAGAACTCCTTTACTAAAACACTAATCTACTCCCAAGAGGATGCTTCCCCGCTGCCTACAATCTTAACTTTTTCAAGTATAGATTTAACGGCTATTTCCCACATTTTCTTTAAAATCATTTCATCCCAAGCAAAGCGGGATTGCCACTAGTGGTATGCCATTTGAATGGAGTTCCACAGGAAGAAAGTGCGAGAAAAGAAACAGTTGGAGTTGAATTAGCGGTTGCACTTAAATATTTCAACAGTGAATTGTTAATCTAGTAGCACGCTTAAATTGCACCAGGGATAAAAGCTCGTTAGAGAAGTTGCCATGAAAATATTTGTAGAAAAGACCTATCCGTATAAACTGTGACCCTTACGTCTTACTCGATAACACTCTACATTGAGTGGCTGCTGGGATCTTGTATACAGTGAACACCATTATCTTCTCTTCCATTCATATGATACGCCTCATTCATTACCATTTTTTTTAACCCATGAGTGTCTCCCAAGACATGCACTGGGTGGAGTTTAGTTTTATTAGTATAGAATAATTTCGTATAGCCGAATAATGCTTATATGTTATCTGCTCTACACAAAGATAAACTAGCGCTGTATAAAGAAAAGGAATTCATCATCTTTATGCAATTCATATGCCGTCAGTTTCGTTCTATTAAACATAGCAACGAGAAACCATAAGCAAATGTTGACCGTAATCAAGCACTCTTCTATTTTATTTTTTTCTAATTCCGCTTGAAATTGCAAATCATGAAATGATATCGAATGTTGCAAGGGAATTACATCCATTTTTTTTTCTTATCGGGCGTTAATGAACTGATATTCCGGTCTTTTTCACATTTGAAGTTTGATCATTTCACTTTTAATCTGAAGTAAAGGCCTAAGGGAATACATTTGTTCTCGTCTAAGCATAAAATGCCAGACAAGTTAATCACTCTTGTATAATTGATAGATGATAGCAGTTGAATTTCCTTCTGGCTATATCGGATTTTCTTTCATATGTCCAAAATGTTCGAGATATTTATTGAGGGCGTTCAGGATTCTAGTCAGTTAAAAAGCTGTAATGTATTTTATAGCACTGAATAATGCAGAATTAACAATACAACTGGTTATTTTCTGAAAACCGTTGCCGGATAATTGTTCATATCGCATTGCGATATAAATGCGACACTCACCTTTCTTTGGCAAGCTATTACGAATAAATTTGGGATTTGAATATATCGTGGGTCATAACAAAAACCAATAACATTTTATGAACCTGAAAACTTCGGTAGGAATTTTTTAAGTGTTATTATATATTGATTTTTGGATGGGAGTTTTTGTTCGCATTTAAATCACTCATGATTTATGACAGTAAGGGGAAACATTATATATAAATATTTTTCCACCCTATTTGCTGGGGAAGATATCATTTTTCTTTTTCTTTTTAATCGATTTCACCCCATGCAAGAGAGTAAAGCCACTAAGACACAAAAGTGTCTTTTGGTGTGGAAGAATTAGAAAACTGAAACATTACTAATGAGCAGGAAAACAAGCAATTGATATTGCATTTAAATTTTTAAAGATTAAAGTTGGCGGGAAAGCATGGAGCCGGAGAGGAGTTCCACAAGCGAGAAGTGCGAGAAAATAAACAGCATAGAATTTACGGTTGCATGTAGCCAGCTTAACTCTAAATTGATGAGATCTCGACGCTAATCTAGTACTGCGTTTAAATTTTTAAAAAAATGTCCAGCGAAGTGCTGATCATGAAAGTATTTATAGAAACGGCACAAGCAGACAACCTTACGGCAGTGGAAAAGTGGCTGATGCCTAGCCGCCAGATCAGGACCAATAAGATTGCTGATTCTTGTTAGGATTTTATCAAGTAGCTCAAGGTAAATAGCAGGACCATCGGACCATATTTGGCAGCAATATTCTAAGCATGGTCGAATGCTTAGATATGCATGATAGATTCTTGAGCGAAATAATTGTCTTGCACGAAACAGTGAACCAACTTTCTTAACAGTTGGGAACGTTAGTCCAAGATGGCGCATCGAGTTACTTTTCCTGGAGGTTAGCATCAGCCATACTGATAGAAGACAGCGAGGGAACTCTGAGATAATTAACTGAGATAATTTTAGTTTTGGAAGCGTTAAAATTAACAAGCTATCTTTTGCGCCATTTAACAACAGACTGGAGTCATTTTGGACATTGGTTGCCATTTTGAACTTATCGTGAGTGATAGGACTTACTATCGAGATAGGAGTAAATGGTTGTGTCTTCAGTGTAGATACAAGTTATTTTTCGCTTGCCGCACAGATTTTTCTTAGATATTGGTGATACTTTTCTAGTAATCTTTCGTGCTTTGTGATGATTGTTGGTTTCTGTGGTCTTCCGGAACGCTTCTCCTGGACATTATGAACAGTTCCATCGGATTCAAAATTATTTCTAATTCCAGTGACGGTAAGTCGCATTAGTGGAACTGTTTTGTTTCCTTATTAGAGAAAGCCTGTAAATATGTATTAATGTTCACCCTGACCCGGGGTGGTAGCACCTGTTAGGGTCTCAGCTATGGGCAAATAGTTAACAACAAAACTTGGGTCAAATTAATATGAAAGTGTAAACATAGATTTTAATACCAATAATACCAGCTATAATTTTTTGAAGGAAAAATTATTATCAGCAAATTTTTATATATATATATATATATATATATATATATATATATATATATATATATATATATATATATATATTACCAGCAATACAAACAGCTATACGTTTTTTGAAAAAATATTACCAGCGTTACATTTTTTGAAAAAATATTACCAGCTATACATTTTTTGAAGGAAATATGTCCCCAGTAATAGATTTTTGAAGAAATACATATTACCAGCAATACATTTTTGGAAAAGAAAATATTACCAGCAATGAAAATTTGGGTGGACTTAATAACCCATTGAGATTGATATGCTGTGAAACAAATCAAACCAAACTAAACCTAAGAATACCCTATCTCTTGTTTAAAACTACGTGGCATTTCGCGAAGAGAAAAAGAACGATAACTGATTTATTTCATATTATGTTGTGTGTCAAAAATATCGTTTTTTTTTTCTTTTTCTTTTCTTCTTCTTCTTCTTCTTCTTCTTCTTCTTCTCTTCTACTACTACTACTATAACATTTACAAAAAATAAAATTTATAATAATTTATAATAAGAAAATTTATAATGATTTATAATAATAAAAAAGTATAATAATTTATAAGATGAAATCAGATTCAATATTTAATAGAAAATTTATGTTACTCAAAAGATATCGGAAACCTGCCAGATAAGCGGCAACAATTATTGCAAATAATGGTTAATACATAATTGAATAAAATGTAATTTTATTCTATTTTTTTTTGTAGAACAAAGTACATAAAAAAGGAAATTATTTACGACTCAACTTGAGTTGGTATTTGTTGAGAGACGAGAACTACAACACCTCCTGCTATTTTTATTCCATCAATGCCGACGTAGTTGCTACGACATATTTGTTGAAATTTTGCCATTAATCTCATCGTTCTTTTTTTTATTATAGATAGACCAATAACTTGACTTTATTTTGGCGACACTCACACGTTAAAGACCCATTTATTTTCGTAGATAGAGCATACATAAATAATGGTGGAAAGTCAATCAGATAAAGTGAAGTGGATCACCTAAATATAATCTCACTTCTACTCTCAGGGAAAATGTATAGCCGGACATTTTCATCATCATTTTTCATTAGAACACAGTGTAGGAAGACTATGTGCTTTATTTACATTATTCGGACAATTGTCGCCATATTGATTACAACGTTTCGGCCGTTGTATGCTCCGGCCTTCTTCAGGTGGTTGGAATGTCGAACTGAACCCTTTATTTCACTCACTGTTCTAGTTCCACGTGCCAAGTTTAATGGATGTCAGTTATCAGTTATCTCCTGTTAATTTACCTCTGAAACGTTGTAATAAATATGGCGACAAAGATGAGGACAATAGTCCGAATAATGTAAATAATGTACATAATACCTCATCTCAGAAATATAGACAACACAAGTAAATACAATGAACCCGACTGAACTTGTCTCTCCGGTTTCACGGCCGTTATCCTCTACACCACACGAACATCCAAACTTACATCACCTGGTATTTCTAAGCGGTCACTCATTTTCGTACTGTCCAGGTTCGACCTTGCTTAACTTCGGTGATCGTATTTGAACCGGTGTTTCAACGTGATATGGTCGTAAGCCTGGAAATTGTGGAGGGCCTAAATCGGCTAGATACTGTAAGGACATGACATTAAAACACCTGTGAAGAATAAAGTTGAATAGACCTGATTCGGTGCCATTTTATACTCAAGGCATTTATACAATTGCTAGTAAATTAATATCATAATTACAAGGTAACCACCGTTGAAAATTATTATTTAGACAATAAACGAGATTAAGGAGAATGCAAAGAGACTACAGATGAAGATCTCTAAACCGATCTGTAAACATCTGTTTTGGAAGAGGGAATGGGTACTGGAATATGCATGTAAATATTTTCATGAAGATGACGAAACCATTGCTCTAGGTAGAGTATTTTTTTTTTAATAAATGATTGGATCCTTTCTGGATTGATCTTTTAATATCAATCGACTTTTTCTCTGAAATGTAGGATTATCTCTATCTCCCGCTCAAAATCCACACTTCTAAGTTCATCCAATATATATATATATATATATATATATATATATATATATATATATATATATATATATATAAATGTGTGTGTGCTAATCTTGATTCCACTGACATTGAGACGATTCCAAGCGCGCCAGTTATGCGTTCAGCTTTGTCTCATTCTTACATTCTATAACCTCTTCATTTTCGAAAAAAAAATTACCAGTTTCTTTTATCTTCACTCTGTGGTTCGTTCTCAGGGCCTCGATTACATCCGACAGAATTTTTTTTCTGTCTTCCCAATAATAAATCTGTTGCTAAAATAAAGCCTCTTTTATTTGTAATGTTTTCAAATATTAACTATTTTAGGAAACTTGCTGATGTTATCATAGAATCATATTCGATCTTTCTGTCCTTCTAAAAAATGTATATGTAGAACATTTGTGTGCTCTGTGTCAGCTTGTCGTGATATATATAGTGAGTGTCATATTGTCGATCTTATTATGGCAGTAAACTTCTGATTTTTTTTTAGCTCTATTACTGAAGTAATTGAGTTATCGGTAGAAAGATTCGCAATCATTCAATAAATATAACGAATGTAAAGTCATATACCTGTGTGCTTAAATGCAGGGCAACTATTATACCGTTCAGTGATTGCTGTTAATATTTTAGTGGATACGTGATTTTCCCCAAACAATAGAGTAAGTAAATGATTATCGTCGTCAGCTTTTCCATGTGGTCGTAGGATTGCCGCGCGGCTGAGCACGTGACCAGTTCTTTTCACATATCTAAGTTGAAGTATACATTCATGCGTAGCGTGTCTTGGGCAAGCTGACCTGGCGGAACACATCTTTCTCTCTTGCTATATCAAACCGCCAATTTAAAGCTTTGCCCTGATCGCGAACACGTGGTTCTTGATACCCGGTTGGAGAACCCTTCGTTGTGGCCGTTGACACGAGTCAAGTAAGCCACCCGTCCAGTGATGTCCTGTGATGGTTGTAAACATCGCTGTTGGGTCCAGTCTATTCTATTATGCTGGATGGCAATCAATATTACAAGAAGGTTCATCCGCCTTTTGGCAGCTCTTGTTTTAAATCCTTCTAGGTGTCTAGCTAATGATCGGGGAACCGATTTAGAATCGACTATACGGCAGGAACTATCGTAGGTCATAGTATCAGAAACTCTCGTAGAATGACCGGATAAAAACAATTAGAAATTTCAATTTAAAAAAAAAACATTATAATAAAATTAGGACATTGAGTACTATGTGTTGTGTTGTGTTGTGTTTAATATAACATGCAGTTTGCTGGATACAAAAGGATTCACAGAAATGAACAGAATACGTTTTATATCGAAGGTAACTTGTGGGTAAAACCTTCGTGAACTTTATTTTATATATAATCAGTCAAAATTTTAGTAACATCAGTAAAATCTACGGTGAAAGATGGCAGATTCATAACGTATGATATTCCAACTTTAATACTGTGACTGAATTTAGAATGTTCTATTACGCCTTCCAACACCCTGACCTCACAATGGCGTCAGATTCTATAGCTTTTTTCATTGAATAAATATTTAAGTCTTTTCTCTATTCTCATAGTTTCAGTGTTTTACATCAGTCTGTTCTTTTAATATTGGTAATTATGGTAATTAAATAGATCTGTGCTCTTTACTAACGGTAACAAGATGTTTGATGGTTTCGGAAATAAAAAGTCGTGTATCATTAAAAACGTACATTTCGATGTTTTCAAATACTGACAAATCTGAGGTAACGTCCAGGCATTGATAATCTTCAATGAGATTTTGGATAACAAAAGAAACTACGAAAACTATGCCATTGTAATTTTAACCCTTTTCTAACAGTTAAAACTATTTAAATCATTCATGTTTTGCATTTTATTGTATAAGATAGATGTTCCAAATTTGATAGTGGAATAAATTACAATAATCAAGATGGTCATCAGTTATACTTAATTTTTGTTAGATAATATTCAACGTAAAATGTTCGTTCTGGTTTTATATATATATATATATATATATATATATATATATATATATATATATATATATATATATATATATATATTATTTTTTAGTACTGACGTCACTAAAAAGTAAAAAATTATTTCTTGATCCAGGCAACTTTCTTCATGTGTTGAAATATGTTGTGCGGATGAATAAAATAGTAGACAATGTCTCATATTTAACATTATATTTCATTTAACTCTGGATTTCATCAAATAATGTCGGCCAGTGCGTGACAGCGGCCACGGACTCCTCATCAGAAACATGAACCTTACATTCTCTTTAGCGATGTCTGAGAGACTGACCTAATGGAACACACACACACAAATATATATATATATATATATATATATATATATATATATATATATATATATATATATATATATATATATTCCTTACATGGATATATAAAGGTTGAGTGAAAATTCAACTCCCTATGAGCATGATGGGCTCACCCGTCTAAAACACGAAGAGTGTCCATTATATAAATAGGGAGTTAGGAGTTACATTTTATATATATATATATATATATATATATATATATATATATATATATAGATAAATAAATTGTCGTCTAAATTATACAATAATAAAAATAGCACTGACATCTCATTTTAGCATATATATTTACCACAATTACACAAAAATATCTTGAGATACTAAAAAGTAAACGTATTTAATAAAATCGCCATTGACTTAACAGTATTAAATACGAAGCAATGTTCGGAAAATAAAACACTTAAAACATAAACATTACGCAATTAAACGGAAAATAAAATGATCCTTGATAATGGCAAGAAGCATAGCCGAAAGCGCTCGCAACCATAGAACATTTGGACAGTTTCTACACAATCTGTGACCCAAAAAAGAAAGCTCTTGTGGGAACACAAGAAAAATTAAATAAAAATCTTAACCGTAGTACCATTTCTGTCTTTTTTTAATGAAACATGCATATATATATATATATATATATATATATATATATATATATATATATATATATATATATATTGATTTACACAAACTTAGGTGCGACTTAAAGCTCAATGCTTTCCAAAGTCATCAAGAACATATGCCAAATTGAGCCGCTAATAAGAGTTTTCTTTTTAACACTGGGTCTCATAGGAGAGAAGCTATACTGAGCACTGTTTTGTACGAAACATATATTAAATAAAATAACTATTTATATGCCTGTCTGCGTATGCTCGCTATCGCACACATATACAGTTACTAATATGTTGTTATTTATATTCGTACTTCTCTCTCTCTCTATATATATATATATATATATATATATATATATATATATATATATATATATATATATATATATGGCGGGTTTAACAGCGAAATTGTTCTAATTGTGTAACCGCAAAATTGTCCAATTGTTTGAGTGAGCTCTGAAGCTCTGCATCTAAAAATGTTTAAATATATCCTACTGGAATTCTTCGACGTTCTGATATCAGACTATACTTTGAGCAATAAGAATGTATAATTAGTCTCCTTAATGTATAATTACTCTCCTTAACTTAACAGAAGTATAGTGAAGCTAAGGATTGGAAGCTCATGAATGATTGAACTAAAGTTCAAATATATATATATATATATATATATATATATATATATATAATACCACGATATTTTCCCATCTTATTCTAAATGATCTTCGTCCTCTCTACCCCTCTAACTTTCTATCCGGGAGTAACAAGTTGCCTCACAGTTTTCCATTAAGATTTCATTTTCAAAGGTCTTTTCATTGCACTTTGGACTGTAATAGCTGAAACTCCTCTCTCACGTGTCAAACATCTTATGAATTGAGTTAGAACTTTTCTAACTGATCTCTTTGTCTCTAAGTTGAAATGATGATTCCTCTTCCTGTTGTGACCTCCTTTTCCAGCTCTCCTCGCTACTGTTCTCTTTTCCTTTAAAAGTTCCTTTGATGGTTCTTGAATAGACTGTGAAGATGGACGACAGATTATGAATTTTGGTACAATTACCAAGGTCTGAATGGTCTTTTTCCTTTCACTATTGCTTAGTTGGCAAGACAGTGGGTCTGACACAAAACAATTTTAACCTGCTCTTTTTCAGTCATTCTAACGAAAAATGATATCAAGATCAATAAACGTCTTAAGCTGAAAACCTGGAAAAGAACTTCAATAAGCTTAGTGGTTATTCAGATATTAAACATTTTGTTGGATGGATAATTAGGCTGTTACAAGATTTGGACCATTTATTATGTTGAGAGAAAATTTGTGTGATGAGCACCCTAAACAATTTTCTTATATCCGTCTCTTTTCTGAAAGTAATCGGCTACATTGATTAAAAAATAAATGGAATTTTAATCAAAATATTCTTGAATTCTCTCAAGACTTTTTTTTCTTTTCCCAATTAAAATGGAAATTTTTAACACTTTCCGAATACAATAATGCTGGCATTTTTTCTCCCTATTCGTCACGTTTAGATTTTGTTTGCGTCATCAACATTATTAACATTTCCTTCAAATATCAACTAATTCAACTTAGTCTTGTCTTGAACAATTTAAAAATAGAAGTAATG